AGCAACCTCAAACTCCTGGGCTCAAGCGATCCTACTGCCTCAGCCTCCCGAGTAGCTGGGACTACAGGCATGTGCCACCATGCCCGGCTAATTTTTTCTCTCTCTATATATATGTTTAGTTGTCCAGATCATTTCTTTCTATTTTTAGTAGAGATGGGGTCTCGCTCTTGGTCAGGCTGGTCTCGAACTCCTGACCTTGAGTGATCCACCCTCCTCGGCCTCCCAGAATGCTAGGATTACAGGTGTGAGCCACTGCGCCTGGCCCAGGCTCTTTCTTAAGTCATCATGGTCACAAGGATGGGCCTTAGAGATTTGGTCCTCAACATTGCACATGCATGTAATTTCCAATGTAATTGGCCAGGTCCAGTTTGGGCAGATGTCAATAAGCTTGAAGCCAATTCATATAGTCTATAGGTCACCTAAGATAGTTGTATCTGAAATACAACCCTCTGTGTGTGTTTCTACAGAGTGTTGTCACCTTTAACCAAGTCACATACAGACATCTTAAATCTAAGAAATATTTTAAATAAATTTACATGAAATTTGCTATAACTTTGAATTATTAGGTTATTATCAAAGTATTGGGGGTAGCTTGTTCAATCTATCTACTTTTTTACACTTTATTTTTGTGATCTTCAATTTTGTATTTATATAAAATTGAGTCAAATTAATGATATCTGTAGCAATGTTATAGGATTGGAAACTAAGTATAAAATATTTATATTTGCTTTAAGGCTATGTTTAATTTTCAAACTACATAGTGTTCAAGTTGAAACAGAACTTTAATATTATTATGCACTTTTCAGACAAAATTTCTGAGCCTTAGTTCTTCATTTTTCCTTTTATATTTGAAAGATTCATTAATCCATGTATTTGGCCATTCTCCAAAATTGTCAAAGAAAATTTCTGATAGAACAAGCTCCACTTCTCATCTTCTGCCAGAATTTCTGGGATAAATGCAGACTGGAACTCTCAGCTAATGGACTGCGACTTCATTCTTTATATGCTACGTCCATGAAAACAACATAGGGCTCCACTACTGAAAATGAAAAGTCAAAATCAAAGCTCTGTGGTTGAATTCATCCTCTTGGGTTTTTCTAACTTTCCTGAACTCCAGGAGCAGCTCTTTGGGATTTTCTTGGTGATTTACCTGGTGACCCTGATGGGAAATGCCATCATTACAGTCGTCATCTCCCTGGACAAGAGCCTCCATGTTCCCATGTACCTGTTCCTCCTGAACTTATCTGTGGTGGAAATGAGTTTCAGTGCAGTCATCATGCCTGAAATGCTGGTAGTCCTCTCCACTGAGAAAATCAGGATTTCTTTTGTGAGCTGTTTTGCACAGATGTATTTCATTCTTCTTTTTGGTGAGACTGAATGTTTTCTCCTGGGGGGGAATGCCTTATGACTGATTTGCTGCAATTTGTCATCCTCTTAAGTACCCAATGACTATGAACAAAAAAGTTTTTATGAAATTAGTTATATTTTCATGGGTCATAGGTTTTATGTTAGGTACTGTGCAAACATCATGGATGTCTAGTTTTCCCTTTTGTGGCCCCAGTGAAATTAGTTATATATCTGGCGAAACTCCAGCAATGCTAGAGCTTGCATGTGCAGACACCTTCTTGTTTGAAATCTATGCTTTCATAGGCACCATTTTGATTATTTTGGTTCCTTTCTTGCTGATACTCTTGTCTTACATTCAAATTCTTTTTTCCATTCTGAAGATGCCATCAACCACTGGGAGGCAAAAGGCCTTTTCCACCTGTGCCTCCCATCTCACATCTGTGACCCTCTTCTTTGGCACAGCCAGTATAACTTATTTGCAGCCCAAATCTGGCTACTCATCAGAAACCAAGAAACTGACATCGCTAACTTATTCACTGCTTACACCTCTGCTGAATCCACTTATCTATAGCTTGCGAAATAGTGAGAGGAAAAGGGCTTTGATGAAATTATGGAGAAGGAAACTGGTTTTACATGCAATGTGACTGTGTTGAGAAACCATATAAAATTTGGTTACTGCCCAACTGTACTCTATTTAAGTGTAATAAATTTTGAAAACAGTTTGCATTTCTTGGTACGAGTATACTTCATTTTTTGAGTTCTCCAAGTTTGATCATACATCAAGGATGTCTTTATATGGTAATGTTTTGATTCCTTTTTCATGGATGCGTAATATTCCTAAACATGGGACATAACAATTTGTTTAGTCGTGGCCCTACTGGCAGTAATTTTTTTGCCACAATAAACAATACTAAAACAAATAACCCATTTTTATATGTTCATGAATTCCGGTACTTTAATTTATACAGAATTGCTTTCAGACAGTGGGTTTGATTGGTCAAAGCAAATGTCAGTTTGTGAATATTCATAGATATTACTGATTTGCTTTTTATTTTAAGTACTTATTTTCATTTTAAATACTTCAGAATGACCTAAGACCCACTTGCCCCACTGACTGTGTTGAACTCCAAGAAGCCTACAAATAAAGAAATGAAATTTTTACTTTTGCAGTGAAAATCTGTTCCATGAATGAGTATAAAAGAGAAGCTATGTATAGAGAGTACCACAAAGGCTCTATTCAGGGACCCAGAGAGATTATAATTCAAAACTAGATTTCTGGCCGGGCGCGGTGGCTCATGCCTGTAATCCTAGCTCTCTGGGAGGCCGAGGCGGGTGGATTGTTTGAGCTCAGGAGTTCGAAACCAGCCTGAGCAAGAG